TAATAGCTGCGGGAACCGTAGCTTCTATGTCCGATTTTTTTTATTTTTTTATTTTTATTGTTATCGGAATGGTTATCGGAATGGTCCGATAACAATAAAAATAAAAAAAATAAAAAAATTGGACATAGAAGCTACGGTTCCCGCAGCTAATGTATATAACAACTGGAAACTTGTATAAACATGCTTTTTAATCCAATTGGGTAAATAAAGACTGAAATTGGGAAAATGCAGAGACATTTTTGAATAGGGAATGGGTCCCTGTACTGGACCCTATAAGCACCTGGCAAAAACCCTGATTAACTGAAAAATTACAAATTTTCAAAATGACAAATTGATTATATTAGCACTTAATTTTTCATCAGGCTTTTCAATTTGAATAGATTGAATAACATTTTTAACCAGCCAACTGTTGTAAAATAACATATGACTATGAGATGATATAAGAAAAAGGTGATTTGAACAGGACAAAATCAGAACTAGTCATTTTCGCCTGCCGCCTGTTCTTTAATGAAAATCCTGAACCATATGTCATGTTAAAGTTTATTTCAGTACATCTTTTCTTTCTCAATTATTGAAAGTCTGAGGGAAATCTACATTGATCATGGGAATTTAAAACAATCATCTCCAAAGCTGACACTGCAAGCAAAGAATATCATCAAAAGGTTTAACCAAAAAAGGATTTCATGTCAATTTAGACATCCTCCTTCATTCATAAAAATAATTACCCTGAAGATGATTGAATATTGCCCATAAAATGGAACTTTTGTTACAAAGACTTATTTTCTTTTCGACAACCTTGCTATATTTTAAGTTTAAGATTTCCTAAAATGATAAGTGTTTCTCTAAAATTAAAATGACTGCACATTTCTCCTTTTTCCCACTGGGACTTACTAAATCATAGACAGATTGGAGTATGAATTGAAAAAGTCTGTTCTTTTGGAAATCTTGTCATATATATACATCAGTAATTTGCATACAGTATACTGGTGCCTCATGCATACTCTCTTAACTTGTACAGTAAGGTTGGTGAATCCAGATGAACACAATTAGTTAATGTTATTCCTTTCATCAAAACTTCATTTATATCATGGAACATATGATGATATCATATTGTCTTCATAGCTTGCTGAATGTCAACAATACATCGTCAGATTGTGATGTACAACATAACTTTGGAATGCTGACACAGTCTTGTTCTCCACTCTGTTCAGAGTTATGGCCCTTTGTACATTTCTCGTACCACAGTTAATCCAGTGCACAAGGTTTTGCTATTTCACTTGCATTCACTCACAAAATAAGCTTGCTACAATCATGTATCTATTAGTTCTACAGTTTGTCTAGAGCATTCATATCCTTGCTATTTCAGCTACTTTAACCATATTTTGTAATACATTTATGTATTTCTGGAAGGCAATTGCAAAATGAAATTGGTGTCTTGCTCCCTTTAATAATGATGAGTAAAGTGTGAATTTTACGAGCCGTGCCACTACTCAAAAGAGCTCACTAATGGCTAGCAAGGTTACGGCAAACCTTGGGGATTTAAAATCCACCAGCAGTCTCTACCACCTTGTATGCATTTAAAAAAAAATGAACATAGACACACACATTGTAAGGATTGCACTTACAGTATATAAACTACAAAATATGGTAATACACATGTAGTTTAATACATGTATACAAGTAATGCAAAAAAATACATTTCATCATATAGCTGTTTTGTCCACTCTTATAATTTACTCTTATTCAGTCTTTTTCTAGAGTACAAATACAAGCTGGAAACTGTCTAACCAGATCTGACACTGTAGTATATCTTTAATATGCATACACATCTTTTATTCCTGGAGCTAGCCAGGATAAAAAGGGTTGAAAAAGGAGTATTTTCATCATTTAAACAGTGCCAAGACAAGGGGAATAATGGTGCTGTAAGGAAATGGGAAGGTGTCTATAGCAAATACTACATACATGTCTGTTATATAATTACTTTACATTGGGACAGTCAGATGCTAATTATATAGTGTAATAAACTTACCACTTCACAGCTATTAAAGAGAAATCAAGCTCATTATTCACTAGTACCTCGGATTTCCATATTTTCTCCATAAAACAAAAACAGAAAAATACAGATGGGAGTATTAAATTTGGACACTTACTTCCTCATTTATTCTGTATTTTGAAAAAAAAAGGAAAATGCAGAGAATATATTATATGGAAAAAGAATGAACAGAATACGGAGAAATGAAATACAGAAAATAGATGCCGACACTAGATAATGCAGATAAAGAAGGAATTAAGGGTAAATGAGGATTCAAAATACACCAAAAATCATGCACTGTTTACATTCAGTATTTGAATCATTAGAGGAGGTTTACAGCTCTATCTACAAATTATCCCTAATCAAAGATAGTTAAACCATAACAAAAAGTCAACTATTTAAACTAATTTGAACACGTTGATTTGAGAGCCACCAGACTAAGACTGTTTATGATAAACTGACAATTTTTTGGGACTGTTCAAATTTGACAAGTTTCTTCAAAGTTTCACTTTTCAATATTATCATTAAGGCTGGCAACTTATTTGTGTTCATTTTTAATGTTTTGTGAACAATATTGCTAATCAGTAAGACATTTTCATGTATTTTTCTAAAATATATATATATAGTTGTTAATTTCCTTGATATTACATAAAAACAAAACCTACCTGGTTAAAATCAAGACCTAACTCTAAAAACAATTCAAACTTTAAAATCAGATAATTGTTGGAATAGAATGCATCTCATGACTAAAACATTCAAAGCAGTAATCTATCAATCATAAATGAACCATTGAACTTACATGTACAATGGCCGCATCATGGTTCAGTGACCAATTAATTGATGCTGGGGTGTGTTATCAATTAGTGTTGACTATTTATGTAACACCCAGTTTGTAAACCATTTGAGGGTTAGGTAGTGTGAAACAGTTACTGTTTTGAAATAGAATTGTGCCCTAGGCTGTCATTTCCTGACTAAGGGACAGCCACAGTGTCTTACCTGTAACCATGTACTGATTTACCTGTGTATACATACTGGACAAACAATGGGCTTGATTAATTGACAAGATTAATTGCCTTCACACCAGGCCTAGGTGTTAAGATTATAGGTACAGCTGTCAGTGGGTGGTCATTGCCCATATATTCTCAGGTAGATATCATATTGAAAAGAAAAATATGTCAGGGGGTGGATACATTGCCCTAGCAACCATCTTTAATCTGCCACTGAAATCAAGTTAACATTGTAACTGTATGTTCCATGTGAAACTTAATTGATTTGATTTTTAATAAGTATAAATCGATCAACTTATTTCATTTTTGTACATAAAGATCATGTTGTATATAACTTCACCTTCAGGTGCTTGTACCCTGCAACCATGAATTTTGTCATCATTTTAACAAGTGCCAATTCATTACTATACCACCAGATCACCTGGTATGGTACCCAGGGGAGGGGGTGGTTGTTGGGGGATATATTTTCTTATTCAACCATCAGCATGTACATGCATGTACCTGACATGTATACATATATACACATATACATACATATATATATATATAAATTAATTGAATATACTATAATTGAAAAATATAGTATCTCAGTTCTATTTTCTTGTAATATGATGTATATACATGTAACTGTTCTGTTTCACTGTCTTAATAAAGGAGCGGATCGCTCCCGAAAATTTGACAACCTTAACTTGTCCACACTGTTGGAATTACTTCTTTGCCCCATATTTTATTTTAAGTAATTTGTATCCTACGTACATACCTCCATTAGGATTTAGTGTTATATGGGATTTTACCGTCTATATTACTTCTTTGACCCATATATATAGGAGAACTTACCACATTTACCCATATCACATAACTGATACTGATCCCATCCTAACACAACAATATTGATATGAAATGTGATGTGAATTTAACTATGATAAAGTGTACTTTTAAACTTTTTCCTCTCAAATAGTACATACATTATCTATAGATTTTCTATAATCACTAGAGATAGTGTACAAATTCTCTGTATGTATATGTTCAGTTGAAGTTTTTAGTAATCAAAAAACAAAAAATATGTGTATCGTTGATTTGATATAATAAAATAAAATATTCAGTTAAATGCTTATTTCCTTTCTCTTTCAATTTTCATATCACAAGGGAATCAATACTTCAGTATTTTAAACTTTGGTAATTAGCACTGTAGAACACTGGGGTTAACATCCACAATGTTTTGTCAAGTGCACTTGACACCAAGTTAGTTTGCTCCCAACTGTATGTGTCAAGCACATGAGGCTAACACCCCTACACTACCAGGTCCAGTACACTCTGCCTAATGAGCTATATAGCTATAAAGACCTATATAGCTATATCACGGAATTAGATTATCTAAGTCTGTGGCTATATACACCTATAAATTATAGCTGAATTGAGCTATATTTTCTCAGATTTCAAATTTCATTAAATTAAAGCAAAGTCGCATAAAACAATAAGGTTTATGGTAATGTTGACTACAAACAGCATACAGTGAGATGTTTATTTTCATTTTTCATAAATGTAAAATTACCGATTTTTTTTTACATCATTATTTTTTAAAAAGAATACTTTATATCTAATGTCTTTTGTTATCAACCTAATGATACAATCTTCTTTTAAAAGCGACTTTGTTTCGTTTTCCTTAAAAAAGAAAATCACTTGTAAATAGCTCAAAAGACCTATTCAGATAGGTCAATAGAGCTATTATAGGTCTTTACAGCTATATATATATATAGCTCAATCGGCAGTGTACTGGACCTGTCTACAGTGCAACGCTTTCTAACTGGGGAAACTGTATGTGTATGTATGATGCACTATAACAACGGGTATCCCACAAGTTAAGATATGCCAACACCAGACATGCAAATGTACTGATTTCTGTTCTACTACGAATCAAACCACCGCTGTGAAAACAATGACACTTCTTCCGAATCACTTACCGTTGTCCACCGCCAAACAACTGTCTGCTATGTTTTGACATGTGTTCGAATGTGGCGCCACCTTGTTAGAATACACAGGTACTCGCAGAACGCAACACTCAATTTGATTGGTTGATATTGTCACCTTTGGCTAATCAAAAGCAGCCTTTGTTATGAAGTTAGGAGTATGATCATGTGATGAACAAAATGGCAGACGTCTAAACATAAAACATTTCGAGTAATGTGTTTTAATATTTAGAATTTTCTGTTGTATTAGTTATTGTCAGAACATTTTAAAGCTATGGTTAAGGTTTACAAGTGCCATAATTTCAAGTCCCAAAGTGTTGTTCCTGTTGACGGGGAACCGGTTGCTGTATTTTCATCTAAACATAGAGTCTTTGTAGCAACTCAGCAATGTGTTATCGAGGTTTTTGTACTCGACGAGCAGGATCCTTCTGGGTCAAAATACACAAAAACCAACTCGTTTTCGACGGAGGCACCAATTGAGCAGCTGTTGTATAACGAAACAGGTATTTCTATTGATTGTATTTTGTATCATGCAGTTTCTTCGTTGAGTAACCGGTGCGATTACACAGGTACTGAGCACACATAATATATTCTGTATCTGTATCTGTATATTACTGGAAGACCTCAAATTTGAGTATAAATTCCAGGGTTGGAGGAGTTCGCTCATAGTTATAGTTAACGGCTCAGTCCAAATTTTAGCTGACTACTGTAAGGTTTGACACAATCCATCATAAGGGTAAAATACTTGCATTTGGGTAACAGACTAACAGTTACTGTTTACAGTAACATTCTTCATACCAAAATGGGGAGTTAGGTGAAATGAAACATTTTGAACATAAGCCACAAAACAGTATATCATTCGTTCTACCATTGGTGGTGGGCACGTCTATCAAAAAAAAAATGAATATTTTTTGATAGACGTGCCCACCACCTATGGTTCAACATAATCAAATAAATACAGTACTATTTTGGTAATACAAAATTATGTATGTCGAGGAAATGGACTGAGTCGTTCACCTACAATTAGTTGCTGGTAGCCCATCAGTTTATGATAGAGCCTTGTCTAAAGTTGGAAGTCTAGCCATGTCTTTTGCTATCCTGTGACCAGTCCTAATGTAAGTAATTGTTGTATTCTTGGCAAGGGGATACCTGAACTTCAATACAATCAAAATGGTTAAATACAACTTGTTTGCAATTTGCTCCAAACACATGGTTTATCTGAATTTGAATACAGTGTATCTATTCGATTTCATTCTGTTCTAGGTGGTTATGTTGCAACAAGAGAATGCAAGGTCTCAAGGAAGCAGAAATTTTACTCAGTAAAAATTTATTTGAACTGGAATGTATGCACTGAAGACAGCCGTCCAATAGCACATGTACGTCTGGCAGGTGGAAATCAAAGTGTGAAACCATCTAACAAAGTACCTGAGTGGATGGATGTGATTGACATTCCATGTAAATATGCAGTATCTAGCATATCAACATGCAGCAGGACTGGTAACCTGGCTGTTGCCTCTGAAAATGGGATATATCTATACCATCTGGTGGAAAAAACAGTGCCAAATTCTGACAATACGTTTTTGGATGTTGTACTTTTTCTTCAGTTGGACTGGAGCTTCACTGTGGATCAGATCACTTTGTGTGAGGATTTTGTTGGAGTGTCATCAGAGAAAGAAATCCAAATTGTGCGAATCTTGTACTCCGATAAATCTTTCGGGAGGCTTGCAATTGATGATGCAGAAACAAGTAGAGCAGCTAGAAGTGTCAGTACAGAGAGTTTTAGAATAGCAAACAGAAAGACTTCATCTTCAATCATGAACCCATTGTTTTTAAATGACAAAGACTCATCTGTTGTTAGTCAATTTTCAAATGTAGGATCTCGAAGTTCTTCGACTCCAAGTCCTGCTCTATCTAACTCTTCAGTCACGAAGTCTATAGCAGATTCATTTAGCTGTATTCTAGATGACGAGAACTTTGTTCAATGGAAATTTGAAGACATCGATTTGCCTAGAAATGAACTATCTGGTAAGTATAAAGATTGTGAAGTATAAGAATTAGTCTAAGCCTTTAAAAAAATCAGTGTTAAAAAGTCAGTAGTACTGTACCAATATATACTGGATACCGGAAAATTTTCCTCAGTACAACTTTTGCTCTTCGCCCATGCAATATACTTTCGCCCAGTGCTAATTTCAACCGTCACTTTTCAATACTCACTACTATGTATTTAATGTTGTTTACTTATATTAATTTGATGTTATGATAAATTTGCCATCGCCACAGAGGATGAAAAAGATGAAAATTTGAACTGCTTCAAAAACTTCCTGGAATACAGTAAAAGAAGTAAAACAAATATTTTAGATGCAGGATTACCTGTCAGTTTCGTAAGTCACCCTGTTTTATAAAAAATATTCTTATATCCTACCAAATGATCCGGTGTAGATTTATCCTAATGCCAGTAATTTTTGGCTTTCATTGAAATATATTTTCGATTTTAATAATATTTAACAGGCAATAAAAGACAAGAACTGTTTCGTGACACCAAAACTGTTCATCTAAAGGGACTCACAGATTTAATGTGTAGGGACCTTCTGTTGGCCGACCCACCAAAGATCACAGATCTGAGAGGTAAAACAGAATTTTAAGAATTATCAGAAAATATGCCAATAATAGACAACTAGTTTGAACACTTTAATAAGTTATGTAACTGATAAACAAGAAAGCTATCAGCTGATATGCTTATTTGAACTTCCATATCAATTGTTATTCCCCATATGGTTCTACCAGATGGGATTTCAGGTTTGCACTATCTCTCAAGTAGTGGGGCACTTTGTCTGGGGTATATCTTATATAATCAGCTGCCCTGTGATTGCATCACGTTGTATTCATGTGAGTATATATACATCTTCAATAAGGTTCATCAGTTTGGAAATATGTGATATCAAAGTTTTTACTTTCTACACAAACAATGTACGTATTATACGTGTCGCAACGTTTCAAAACCGACTGGTCCCTTTGTCAAGCTTTGACTGAGTGAGCGATTTGTATTTGTATATTTCTTATGTCACTCAACCCGGGACATTTCGCCTTTTGATAGGGAGCGTATACACACTACATCAGATTGGTTACAGGTCAATGCTCACTCATCAGTCAAAGCTTGACAAATTAGGGACCAGTTGGTCTTGAAAAGTTGTGACACATTTAAAACGTACAGTGTTTGTGTAGAAAGCAAAACTTTGCTATTACATGTGAGTATGCTTCTAAAGATGGCAGAGTTGTGTTCTGAAATCAGGGCTGCATTTTTTTATTGCGATCCAATCGGTTGGACAGGAGTTGTTCATTTATGAAATAAGGTCTGACCTAGTAATCTGATGCTGCTTTCAGATGAGCCTTAACAAAGCAATGGAACCGGATATGTGAAAGGGGCCCAGATCTCCTACTTTATAATAGAGTTCTGACCCTTTGTTCCCAATTTGTCACTTGATATAATAAATAAAAAAGACGTCAAATTATTGTAAAATGATTGGACAGTCTTGGCAAGAAAAATGGATCTATATATGCAGGAGGTGCTTATAAAGGGTGAACATGGAATTTGAAAAACTGAATAAAATCCCATTATTGCTGTATTTAAGTATAAATAATTATTAAATACTATATATTCTTTATTTCGAAATTGTATGGAACAAATTTACAGGTATTGAATTAATCTCAATTTTTTAACAGCCAGTCTTAAAGGTAAGAATATATACTGCATGGTCTAGATCTATAGTTTATTGGTAATATGGTTTAAGCTTGACCTAGAATCTGCATATTTCTATATTTATATGTCATCGTTTCTGTTTTACATTGCCATTGATTCATACAAACATAGAGCTTTCACTGCACCCATGACATTAAGCAATTTCAGAAGTCAAGTATTGTTGTATTTCCGTTACCCCTGAAGACACATTTGAACTCTTCCAATTCAAAGGTTGGAATAGTTCATTATGAAATTGCAGGGGTGAATGCGTTAGATTAAGGTTAGATTAGGGGAGAGACACTTACTCTTTGTAAGGGTAAATACTGAAAGCCTTGACATTTGTGTATTATTGAGTTCCTTGATTCACACAGGTATATACTATATACTTACTATAGCAATGTTGACTTTACATTGTGATAGTGTTGTGAATTCAACAGTTACACTGACTATTTTTATTCATGTGTTCTGATTAAAGACCTGTATAAATTTTAAATCCACAACTATGATATAATATGATCCATTGTATTTTTTATATTTTCATGTCAAAATTAAACCTACAAAATTACTGTGAAATCATTTTTTTGTGGGGCCTAACCTAAATTTCATGGTTTTCCGACAAAACAGCATTTCGTTTAAATTCATAATTTGTGGATGAAGATTACCCACAAAATGAACGAAATTAATAACCCAACAATAATTAAGGTAGTAATGAAAAATCTTCATAAAAAGGGGTATCAAAATAAATCAAACAAAAATTGTTCAAATACTCCCCAAAATTGTCAAATCTTTTTTCATTGGATATGTTTCCTACAGACAATTCACTACTTGTCAGATCCAACATAACACAGAAACATTTAAAGAAGTTTTAGACAATTAACCCAAGAATCCTTGCTGACTAATTATAACAGAGTCAATAATTCAGACAAATATATCTTTTGATCTACCTTTTTGCATGGCTACTTGTTGTCTTTAGTACATGGTTGTGTAGAAATCTGACAACGGCTAAACATGTCTGTTATCAGATGATAACCAGACTGTTAACTGTTTAATATATTTTTATTTGAGCAAAATGTTATTTCCTTCATTTCCATTTTCTTTTTGATGCTAATATATTTCAGAGTACCAGTAGATCTGACAGATTTATTATTTTATTATATATGTACAATACAATACAATAAACTTGATTTAACGTCGGATATTTAAAAACATTTAACATTAGCTATTAAAAGCTATTATTCCGACTGACATAAGTAAAAAGCATCAAATCAAAAAATTACATATATAAAACATTATGAAACAGAAAGTGTTAAAACACAAGTCTCCATTCAAAGTTATAAGCTAAATATATATACATGCATACATATAGCATGACAGTAATTTTTACCATAAAATACATATTAGCATAAAACATGTATACGTTATCGTTTTTGGTTAATATGGGTAATTGCTGGTACTATTTAGACATTCTTTTTTAACATGGTTCCTTTCACATGAAAAACTTGAAAGGTTAGCAAGTATATATATCATGATATTGATGATAAAGCTTCCTGATTGGGTACTGTAAAAACTATACATACATGTACATCAGAAAACATTTAAATACCAATGTCAATCTTTACATACATGAAGATCAATGACTTGCATGCTCATTGTAAATATGGATGTATATATATATGCCTTTTATATTTATGTATATAGTGGTTAACCAACAAGAAGTGGTTGGTTATCATTTAATTTTCAAACTGTACAAAAACACAAAGTTTACCAAGTGTCTTTTACAATTTGAAAATTAACATATGAGAGTTAGAGTTAGATAAACATGAAAATCAACCATCACAAGTTTGGAGACCTTTTTTCTCCCATAACGTTAAGAAATTTTATCTAGAAACCATATTTTTCTCTTTGGAATACATTATTCCTGTTTACAATCTAGGAAACAATTAATTTGCCATGAACTATGATGTTTTAATGGAAGATGACGTCGCAAGGCATTGTTGACATAATTAGAAAATTGACCCAAAAAAGCCAATATATGTTTAGAAAATGTGTTTTCCTGCTACCTGAATGACCCTGTTTTTAGAGTCAATTAATCTTAAAACATTTTTAGACATTCTAGAAAAACAGTTTTAACTGCCCTTGCGATGATATGTATAGATACTTCTTTATTTTACTTTAATCCTTATCAAGGAGGGGGCCACATGACCTTTGGGGATGTCAAGGTCGAGACACTCCTGTATAAACGGTGGAACATACAGGATGTGGATGGAGGCTGGCGTCACATGCAGATGGTACCCACATACCTGGCAAGTAAGTCTTACTCTATACGTAACAGGCAGGGACATAGCTAGCCCTGGTTTGGAGTGGATTTATTTTAGGAGGGGGTCCTGAGGAGAGGGCCTTAGTAGAGAGACAAGTGTTTTTGTTTTGTTTTTGTTTTTGAAAATTTTATGAATTCACCATGTACCAGCATATACATATGTAGTAGGCAGCTACGCGCCTGACAGGTTGAGATGACGGTGATTCCTTTCAGAGTTTGGATGTATCAAGTTAATTGAAATACTAGTACAAGATGCAACAATCTTAGTTTTTTGGGGGAATATTTTTTATATATATATTTATTTATTTTTTAGATTCAATTAGAGGAAATATGTCCGAACTATATGACTTCATTTTGCAGTTTTAGTGATTTTGTTCATCCCACGGAGATAAAAACAATAAATTGTATCCAGGCAGTGTTAACATATATGTCATATACTTAATCCTGTAGGAGATATAAATATATATTATACCACTTCTCGAAAAGAAAGCAAAGGCTGTTTTTTTTCCCACCGAACTAGCTGGGTAACATTAGCTTAATTATTTTGTTGATACATTTCTAGAAAATGAGAGGTTCAGTCTTGCAGACCGAACAGGGACCATTCCTGTCCACTCTTCCACCTTCAGTGACCTAGTGGGCGTGTCCGTGTTGATCAGTGGTGACACCTCCGGGTTCCTGTACAGCTTGTGGCCGCACAACTGTCTCCTGACGGAGTACAAATATACCAAACCCGCCAAACAGGTAACATACTGAACATGAAACTGCATGACATATTTGACCTTATATCTGCTCTGAGCTCTTATCAATGTGGGAAAATTAGGATGACAGCATGAATCTTCAGTTATCATAGAAAATAGCCATAATAGACACTTTTTAAACTCATTCACCCCGACATTTCATAAGGAACAAATCCGACCTTTAAATTAGTAGAGTTCAAATATGTTTTCAGGGGTAAATGAGTTAAGCAAGTGTGTAAAGTAGAGTGTAGGGATAGGTGGCTTTGACCTAAAAAGGATCGGGGGCACTTATAAGGGATTGGGCACTTATAAGGGATTGGGCACTTATACAGGATTGGGTACCTATAAGGGATTGGGTACCTAAGGGATTGGGTACCTATAAGGGATTGGGCACTTATAAAGTAAAATAGGTTTATGATTTGTTAAACAGATACTGTTGACACTATGCTGGTTGGTTGTTACAGATTTGGGCGGAGGGCGAGCTGATGTACGTACTGACAGACAATGGACTCGAAACTTACACCTGTCGAGCGTCTGCTTCAGCCGTGTTCAGCATGGAAGACTATGCCTCACCCACAAAAGTGTGTACAGAGCATCTACAATTTTACAATTAAATTGTACAGTAGTACCTGCAAGATAGTGTCTTAATTAACACACAAATCACTGGGAAGTATAATAACCTGTTTCTCTTACATGTATGTTGAACATATCAGCTTCCATCAAAATATTATCATTGCATTACTCATCCCAAGCAAACGTTCATGTCGCCACATACTCTTCACATTAAAGGAAATAGAACACTCAAAATGGCTACCATGGTGGCCATCTTGAAATCATTGTTATCTCTTTTCACCAATCTATTGACTGTAACTAGTCCTAAATGAAAAACGAGATCGTCCAATATTCAAAATTCTTTTCACTAGAAACAGGTTACCTATACCAATACATTGGAACCTGCTTATTATGATATCCTATTTTCCAGAGAAAATTACCAAAATAACCGATATATCATAATAACCGATCAAGCCGTTTTCGATCGTTTTTATGTTGTCGGAACCGGAAGTGAGATGCGCTATATCAATCAGACTTAGATTGATGTGGAAACATGGAAAATATAAATACAAAAAGATAAATTAATAATTGAAATAATTTGTTCATTGTTATTTATATCAGCGTGTTGGAAAAATTCGAGAAGTTGTCGTTTTGCCGTGGTAATGATCAGTATGAACTGTACTGGTAATAAAACTATGGATATAGATGTTGAAGCTCTATCTTATATTGTCATTGCATTGTTCATCCCAAACAAACATTCATGTCGCCATATACTCTTCACAAATTGCAAAAGATTGTAGTTGGACTTTAAAAAAAATCAGAGCTGTCATGGTGGCCATCTTGCAAATATCATTTTCTGTTTTCAACAATTTTTATCCGTTCTATACTTTAGTGTAGGATTTTTACTCGAAGGGGGGGTTGGGGGATTAGAATTATAAAAATTTAATTTGCAACAATTCATGAAATTATACCTTCATATTACTGGTATGTATTGACTAAGGCAATAGTTTGAAGACAATTTAGGTTTCATCTCACTTTTTTATAAGTTATTTCTACGAGTCCACAATGCCAAATTGAAGGTACTTTGCAGTGACTTTTGCATTTGTAATACTGTAAACCGAAAAAATTTCGCCAAGTCAATCTTTGACCCTTCTCCCATGAAATCAATATTAGCCCAGTGTTAATTTCGCCCTTCACCTTTCATTAGTATGTATATTATGTTGTTAACTTAAATTCGCCGTTACAATAAATTCTCACAGAAACCGAGGGTGAAAATGGCGAAAAATTCAACCACAGCAAAAAATTCCCAGTATACAGTAGGTTGAATCATGATTCATAATTTACCGTGTAAAAAATCATAATGAATTATATTGTGTCAGTTACTTGTGACATCCCAAATAATTTGAAATAACATTGATATTGAAGGTGTTTCCGTCTATCAAACGGGAGGTGTGTCTGTGTGGTATCCACCCATTCATAGGACCGAGGAAACTGACCGTGTCGGACAATCACGTCATCCTCCTGGCAATGATGGACAGTGGGGCAAGGTTTGTTTTGTCAAAGGTTTTGTTTTATTTTTTTATCTACCGTAGATATACTGTTTTCTCGGCAAAGCCTCAGGTTTTACCAAATTTGAAAACCCCTCGGGTGGAATCCTACACCCCTGGGCATGAAAGAGTCTTCTAATAATACATTGGCTTAAATTTTCGCTATTTTGACCAAAAAATAGAAAATTAAATTTACACCTATTATAATTTTGTGGTCTAGACAACTGTATTTTTGTGATGTTTTAGCACTGAGATGGAACACTCGGCATATAAAGTGTCAAATTGTCAAATGTATAGGCTTTATGATAGCATATTTTAATTAACAACAAGTAAGTGTATCTTGTCAAAAAAAATCACCAACAAAACTATTGGATGTGTGATGTAACCCGTTTTCACACATCATTACTCTTAATGTATATGAATTGTCACAACCACATGCATGCTATTTTATTGCTCATTTTTTTGCTTGTTCTTGGGATCATACTGTTTTCGCATAATTCACTCTCGAAATCCCTAAAATGTCTTCCCAGCCAAAACATCCTGCTGTACGGTATTTGATAAAGTCTTAACAGTTCGTTAACTCAAGGTCATCCAGGGTGATAAAGAAGAAAACTGATTAACTCATTCACTCCTTCATGTTGAAACTAGACTTGCCCAGTCTTTGATTTGGTAAGGTTCAAATGGGGATTTAGGGGTGTATGGGTTAATGATAACAGTGCCATTCATTTATCACTATTCCTTCAAAAATGAACTTAATTTGTTCTCTTGTAAATTCCATCTCTGACAATGACCTTGACCTATATCAGAAAGAAACATTGACCTATATCAGAAAGAAACATTCTAATGATCCATGGCCAGCATACAGTATAAAGTTATATTTGATGTTTATTATTTGTACGAATGTCAATGTTGACTTGTGTTGTATAAAAGAAAATAAATGACTTAAAAAATTCATTAACATAACTGATACATTGATATGGCAGAGATATATATATATATACGTATAATCCCATTTTCATGATTGTGCTTATCCTTGATCATCTACTATATTTTTATGGAGTGGCACCTGTCAGTTTTTAGTGGGTCATTGAAAAAATACTGAAGGATCCCCGTACCACTGCCAAAACTGTAACTTAGTGTAGGCATGGCCAGGCACCTTTTTTTGGCAGGGTTATAGCTTTGATAAATCATTAATTAAAAAAAAACCATACCTTGTGGACTTTTAATGAGAAGAGTAAAGATGAAATAAAAACAACATACTCAACAACAGTGTTCAGAATGGAAAAAAGCCAACAGGGTAAAACTGGAATTTGAACACATGACTTCAAATTGTTATGCATGTATATATGTATAGCTATCACTCTAACCAATTGAGCTACCTTTTCAACGGAAGTGTACTGGCCCACCTGTGCTATGGAGGTTACTGTGTATACGAAAAAACGAAGTGCAGTGAGATGGCTTGATCCTTAATTATAATGTATGAGAGAATCAAATGTTGACAATAATGTTGACCATAGTATATGATACAATTTAATTTTCATTTTTCATCCTTTTAGACCAGATGACAATCTCTGGAGTCTGTATGCTCTACAGAAGTTTTCTAATTCAGAGTTGTATAAAGAAATGGTAAGTCTGTCTGAGGGAGTTGTATGCAGGTATAGAAAGTGTACTGTGTGGGTGAGTTGCATGCAGGTATAGAAAATGTACTGTGTGGGGGAGTTGCATGCAGGTATAGAAAGTGTACTGTGTGGGGGAGTTACATGCAGGTATAGAAAGTGTACTGTGTGGGGGAGTTGCATGCATGTATAGAAATTGTACTGGGTGGGTGAGTTGCATGCAGGTATAGAAAATGTACTGTGTGGGGGAGTTGCATGCAGGTATAGAAAGTGTACTGTGTGGGGAAGTTGCATGCATGTATAGAAAGTGTACTGTGTGGGTGAGTTGCATGCAGGTATAGAAAGTGTACTGTGTGAGGGAGTTGCATGCAGGTATAGAAAGTGTACTGTGTGGGGGAGCTGCATGCAGGTATAGAAAGTGTACTGTGGGGGAGTTGTATGCAGGGATAGAAAGTGTACTGTGTGGGGGAGTTACATGCAGGTATAGAAAGTGTACTGTCTGAGGGAGTTGCATGCATGTATAGAAAGTGTACTGTGTGGGGGAGTTACATGCAGGTATAGAAAGTGTACTGTGGGGGGGGAGTTGCATGCAGGTATAGAAATTGTACTGTGGGGGAGTTGTATGCAGGTATAGAAAGTGTACTGTGCGGGGGAGTTGCATGCAGGTATAGAAATTGTACTGTGGGGGAGTTGTATGCAGGGATAGAAAGTGTACTGTGTGGGGGAGCTGCATGCAGGTATAGAAAGTGTACTGTGCGGGGGAGTTGCATGCAGGTATAGAAATTGTACTGTGGGGGAGTTGTATGCAGGTATAGAAAGTGTACTGTGTGGGGGAGTTACATGCAGGTATAGAAAGTGTACTGTGGGGGGGGAGTTGCATGCAGGTATAGAAATTGTACTGTGGGGGAGTTGTATGCAGGTATAGAAAGTGTACTGTGGTGTGGGGGAGTTGCATGCAGGGATAGAAAGTGTACTGTGTGGGGGAGTTGCATGCAAGTATAGAAAGTGTACTGTGTGGGGGAGTTGCATGCAGGTATAGAAAGTGTACTGTGTGGGAGAGTCGCATAAAAAGCATGAACAACAGAAGTATTGGCAAGGTGGGAAATACAATGAGGACTTTATTTATATTGTATTAGAGTAACATATTGTGTAACTCATGTCCATGGCGTCTCATCTCATACCATCTTAACGCGATTCATTGTCACCATACTAGCTACTAGCTTCATATCTGAGCTGATTTCGTCAAGTATGAGAATACCTTGGATGAGTTAATAGTTCAGGGTACTAAGTCATTATCAAGGTCACTGTTGTTATTTATAGGTAAACCAGAGGGCCAATGGAGCATTCTTATCTTAGTGACATGTTTTAGTTTCATTTTATTGTTCATTTCTCAAATCCAAATTCTTGTGAATAACATGTTTGATATCAATTGATAGTGTCCTATGCAAAAAATATTCTGTAATCCATCCTTTTTTGTAATCATCTCAGATAGCCTTCGGGTCACGTTACCAGCAGAAGAACCCCGACACATACCTTAGTCTGTTGGAAGAAGGTCACATGATCCTTCGCAGCGCCATGGTAACAGATCTCCATGGTGACTGTTCTGGGTCACCAAACTCGAGCTCTGACCTACTCCAGGAGTCTGCCGCACTGCTTGGGGAGTTCTATGCCATGTAAGTTATATAGAATAGCTGAAAGAGTACTGTAAATCGATTTAGGTTTATGATGTTTAGGTACCTGCTATAAAGCCCTCATTCCACTGTTTTGTTTTTAGATTTGCAAGCTTGCCTGACTAACTAAGGATCAGTCAGGCAAGCTTGCAAATCTAAAAATAAAACAGTGCATGTGAAAAGGCAAACATTAATCTGCCAAAACTCCCAAAGAAAGTTTGTAGTGATTCATCACAAATTTATATAAAGAGCCGATTCCAAAATGTGTTCCTTAATAAAAGATGCTTTTTAATGTGATATGAAACAATCTCACTATGTCAAACCAGCCATTTGTTTTTAAAATTAATGTAAATGGAGGTGAGAGGTACTTCCAATTTGTAGTTGTGTCTTTTGCCTATCATGGTCGACCAAAGGCGTTACTGTATACTGGATTTTGTTGTTGTTGTTAGGCCTAGGAACATGCAATGGCATCTATGTTTGCCGTACTACCTGATGTCTGGACTTAGTCTGTCTGATATAGTCCGGCAAGCCCTTCAGTATAAACAGCACACCAAAAGTGTAAGTTTCTCAATAACTAATCAGCACACCAAAAGTGTAAATTTTCCAGTATAAACAGCACACTAAAAGTATAAGTTTTCCAGTATAAACAGCACACCAAAAGTGTAAGTTTTTCACTATAAACAGCACACCAAAAGTGTAAGTTTTTCAGTAACTAATCATCACACCAAAAGTGTAAGTTTTCCAGTATAAACAGCACACCAAAAGTGTAAGTATTTCACGATAAACAGCACACCAAAAGTGTAAGTATTTCACGATAAACAGCACACCAAAAGTGTAAGTTTTTCAGTAACTAATCAGCACACCAAAAGTGTAAGTTTTCCAGTATAAACAGCACACTAAAAGTATAAGTTTTACACTAGATACAGCACACCAAAAGTGCTAGTGTAGCAACATAATCAAAATGATAAAAAAGGTAATAGTCGAAGTATTTAACACACAGAATTTTGGGGTCTCCAGTATTATATAAGCACACACAAAATGTATGTCCTCCAGCATAGATAGCATACCAGAATGGTAAATCATTCAGTATTTATGTGATAATGGTAAATCATTCAGTATATATATGATAATGGTAACTTATTCAGTATGTATATGATAATGGTAACTTATTCAGTATATATATGATAATGGTAACTTATTCAGTATGTAGATGATAATGATAACTTATTCAGTATGTAGTATATGATAAAGGACAGGTATCAGCCTAGTGTTTGTCCATGCTTTTTTTTTTACCTGAGACCTATCAAATAGCTAGTTGCATGACTTCAATTTTGCTATGACATATTCTGGGAGTGGAGAGAGCGAAAGTGAGCGTAACCCCTGGAGTATCGATGATATACGTATCCCTGACTTCCGGATATTGTCAGTAACTCATCAAAATATCTAATTGTATTACAGACCTCGGCCTACTGTTACGGACAAGGCTTTCTCTACTACCTCAACTACGTTCTCTTCCAAGACGAGGAACCATTTCAACTGAAAGAGGTTTGGCTCTGCATGTAGTATTCTGTATATAATGAATACAATGCTGATTAATCAATTATTTATATTAACTTTATTTTACAGCATTTATGAAACAATTTATTTCAACTTATATTAATCACTCTTGTTGGCCCAGATGTCAGGGGGGGGGGGGGGGGGGGGGGGGAGGGGGTATATGGGAGGAAAAGTTATGTGCTTGGGCAGGTGACCTCATACCTTTTCATGTAAATCAGGGAATCAAACCCTGGAAGCCTTGGTGGAAGGCAAGTGAGTTATCCACTGCACCACCTGACCACCCTACAAACTTTTTGTAATACACATGTACTGAATAATAATTTGACAGAAGTTTATTTAAAAGGACTTTAACCTGGTATAGCCCATAGTTTTAACTCCAGAGACTGACTTAAGGGGCTTCCAAAGATATACTTTTTACTTTCTGATTTCAACTAAAATAATGGTAGGGAGAAAGGACACTTTGAGATATTGGGGAGAATTTCAATTTTCCAAATTTTACACATAAGAGTTTATTATTTCTATAATATACATTGTACAATACCATATCAACTCATTCACCCCTGAAGACACATTTGAACCCTCCCAGGGGTGAATGAGTTAACTTTGAATGATATGTAATTACTCTTTTGTCATTTATCTTCACCTCTGAAATGCTTATTATAGACGAGACTAAGGTCATTTAATCAATTAAGTTTTTAGCAAATGTTGATATAAAGTCCTATAACACACATTGATAATGGTGACAATCTTAATTAAGCCGGCAGTGCTTTATGTAAGTTTGTCAGCAATAGAAATGTGTGTTATAGGACCATAACAATATTTGCTTAAATATTCATTATTTATATTTACATTTTGATAGAGTAGTTATGCTTTATTTAGTTATTTCCAACAGTTCTTTGAACAGCAAATTAAGTGTTGACAACAGTGAAATTGATGACGTCACAATAGAGATAAATGATGTTACAATTACAAATGTTGTTTTAGCCTCACAACAACATTTGCCTTCTCAATGCATTGCAATGGAAGGATGCAGAGCAAATGTAAATGTATTAAAATAATTGTATTCATATTAACAGGAGGAAGGAGACACAGTATTGGATGTCTGTGCTGAGGCAGTGCCTGACAAACTATCACGGATTATCCTGTTCTCACGTCTTCAAACTTACACCCAAGGTATGTTACACCATAAAGTTGTCTCCATTGCAATAGTTGGCCTACCCTTGGTTATGACATATAATATACCGCGGTAATATGATATATACAACATTTGATATAGCGCCCTATCTAGCTAGATTAAGCCCCTCTAAAGCGCCTTACAGTACATAGATATACAATTAATACAATTAGCATGTACATTCATCAATACAATTTTTGATGAATTCGCAGGAGCTGCCTTATCAGACGCTAACCACTAGTCCTATGCCACCTTGCTAATATTTCCCAAATGTGTATATGATCAAGTATGATCTATAGTTTTCAGAGAGTAGACACTGTCTGTGATTATACATGTTACTTTTGTTGCTGTAGAGAAGACCCTTAGCCTTCTGAAGCATGTCTTACAACAGAAATACAAACCAGATGAGGCTAAAAGGTGAGTAATGATAAAAATAATAATTCGAGGTTTTCGTATACATTGTACAACTTTTTCACAACATAGTTCGTAGGTCGTCTCAAAGTGGTTCACAAATTATTATCCATGGTTATATAGGGCCTTTGCAACCAGCGAATATCTTTATCAACTCCCTGGGGAGCATACAGCTGTTGCTGCCATTTCAATGCTCACAGCTAGCATTCAACAATTCTAGCACTGCCCAACCACATACTCATTTACAGCTGAGTAGACTGGAACAAGCAGAGTAAAGTATCTTGTTCAAAGATACAACACAGTATATAAGAACCTTGAATTATTATCATTAAAAAGCTTATAAGGCTGTCTAATTAATTATTTAGATTTCCTTTCCCAGCCTTCAGTGTACATACTAATGATCTTACATCAAACACCTGGAAATTAAGCTATGCAATTCAACTTTTTCCATTATTAATACACAAGTTCAAGTAAAAGATATAAAATTAAGGTGAAGTCAATTTTTTAAAGTACAGTACCAGTAAAAAGATTACTGTCTACTCCCAAGTTTTAGCTCAGTCAAACGTTCGCCCATCGCCCATGAAATCAATTTTCATCCTTTGTTAAATAATTTCATCCTTTACATTTAATTACTCTGTATATTAAGTTGTTTGCTTACATTCGCTGTAATGATTAATTGACCGTCATTACAGAGGGCAAAAAAGGCAAAAATTAAACTGCAGCAAAAATTTCCCTGATTACGTACATTATTTGAATGGAATTTTTTTTTATCATGGAAATGATCAAAATATCCATGGATGTTATTCTGATTTATAGATAATTCATAATTTAATATTCAACCTTAATAAGATATCTTGTAGAGTGGTATTTAACTGTATTTAACCGGGTTTTGTTTGTTGCAGCGGTACAGATATGCTGGCTCTTTCGTTGCTACACCTAAAGTCATGTGACCCCGAGTCCGCCCGCCTGGCTCTCGCCGCTGTCAGTCAGGTAATATAAGTGTGGAGACAAAGGGGCCTATTAACTCATTCACCCCTGAAAACACATTTGAACTCTTCCTATTCAAAGGCTGAAATAGTTCCTTATGAAATTTCAGGGGTGAGTGAGTTAAGCTGTTATATATACTACATTAAAAAATCTTTAAAGTTTGTAAAATAGAATTGTATGCTGTAGAAAAAGATTTTTTTAGAGAAATTATTCTCCAGAATTAAAAATGCATGTGTAGTAATGAAAAGAAGTTAAGAAAAGAAGTTAAGAGGACTTCAAATGTCAAAAAAATGCAAGTCAAAGCAAATTATTTTTAAAATCAGTATTTATTTAATTATTTTTGAAAAAAAGTTGTGACCTGAAAGAATCTGGTAAGGTCTATTTAACCTGAATTTCGCATAGACATGCATGTTGTCCATTAGACCTTGACGTCTTCAGCTTTCATTCACACATTTGGTTTTATCAATAGTTATAGCATCACAGTAGTCAAAATCAGCGGTAACAGCCCCCCCCCCCTCCCACAAGGGAATTATGTTTATTTATAAAAACTATAATTTTAGAACTGATTTGAACACATGAGCATTATGTTGCATAAAGAATTGATAAAACAAACCTTTTCACAACCAGATGGAGCTGAGACAATTCTGTGTGAACCACCACCAACTGTTACATGAGGATTTCCAACAGTTATCTCCCCTGTCACAGGTCAGTGTGTTATATCGGAGGAGTGCATTCACACTTTAAAATCCTGATTAAAGATTTTGGACACTGCCAATTTAATCTAACAGAAGTCACTGTTAATTCAATAGAGGTCACTGTTAGTTCAATAGAGGTCACTTTCAGTCTAATAGAGGTCACTGTTAATATAATATAGGTCACTTGTAATCTAACAAAGGTCACTGTTAATTCAATAGAGGTCATTTTCAATCTAATAGAGGTCAAGTTTAATAGAGGTGACTGTCAATTCAATGGAGGTCACTGTCAATTCAATGGAGGTCACTGTCAATTCAATAGAGGTCAATGTCGATCGAATTGGAATCACTATCAATTAAGTCAAGGTCACTCTGTAATAGAATTCACTGTTTATGTAATAAAGGTCACATTTAATTAAAAATGGTGACTGTCAATGTAGGTGTTTACTGTCAATCCAGTAGTTGTAATTTTTGGTGTTCAGTGTTAATAGTCATGGTGATGTATTTTCTGTATACAAATTTACTCTTACAGCTTGAAAAGCAACATGTAAAATTTAGTCAGTGAGGCTAGTAGTTTCCAATTTTACTCCTATAACCAAATATTATTCAATATGAAGAAAAACATCAAATTTTGACATGTCAGTTGAGCTAGTGGTTTTAAGAACTACTAGTCAAGCTAGAGATTTCATTAGTCTCAGACTATCGGGCTACCCTTATTATCTAGCCCTGATTATAAAATGAACTATGTTTGATTGTCTGGTACAGTATATATGTGTTTTTATGATCAACTCACTATTTTTTTATTATTATTATGACAGCTGATGCGTAGACACTGCCCGGAGGTACTAATACAGTGTCTTATAGCTCTACATGACATCGGGACCATCCCATTGGATCTGGCCATCAAACTTCTACAGGTAAAACATAGATGTCTGTGTATTTCCAGACATACAGTGTGAGATTGACTTTTCTCACAACTCTGACAGAGATACCCCATGTCATACCCCTTGCTAGATTTGTCTGTCTCCTCCCTTCTGTCTGGTACCTTTGTGGGACATTTCATGGAATTTTTACACAGTGATGTATATATCTGCATTATTTACTGCTTGAAAGTTACAACCTGCATTAAAAATAGTATGTTTTGTTGTTATTGTCTCGCCACGATGAAGTTGCAGAAGCGAGACTAAGGTGTTGCTTTTCCGGCAACAGCGGCTGAGTCCACATTAAGTTTTTGCATTTATGTAAGTTTCACTGAAAGTATAACTGCTACAACAACCAAACTTGGACCATAGATGCATCGTAGGTAGTACATCTCAACCCATGCATCTTATGCTGGATGCGGCCTACCTTTCATGGTCCATTGACTTTGTCAGCATCTCCATCAACATTAAGGTTTTGCGTTCAAGTTAGTTTCTCTGATATGCGCATTTATGGCCAAGGCAGGGCACAGGCGAGACATATCAATCCAAATGGCTTGTGTATATTGATTTGATTGCTGATGTTGTAGTTAAAACATAATCTACACAGTGAAATAAGTTATCTTCTTTGTAAAGATTAAGTACTTTTTTTACGCTTAAGCATTCAAATATAGCTTTTAGTACTGTAGAGGCAATATTTATTTGAGGCCTCAGACTGGATACTTATAGTCTTTAGCGAAATTAAATACCTTTTTTGAAGTAAAAGTGCTAAGATTTTGTAACATCCCAACCTCGGCTTATGCCTCGTTTGGGAATATGTTACAAAATCTTAGCCCTCAACCGATCTCGCTCAATTACAGGTGATAGATTATATTATTCTTCCGAAATTCATTTGGGAAAAATTAAATCTTGTCTTTTCCTTCCATTGGAAAAGACACTTCACTTAAGCTATTATTCTGGAAATGTCTCCAATGTGTTATCAATTTATGCAGCATAACCATGGTAATGACATCAATATATTCGTTAAAACTTAATGCTAATGTCAAAAATCTCACCCTTGGATTGAGATTTCTTTATCTACATCACATAGGCATGATATATTGTTGTAGTCTTGTCTTCATCCCATAGGAGTAATAGATTGTATTAGACTTGTCTACATCCCATAGGAGTGATAGATTGTTTTAGACTTGTCTACATCGCATAGGAGTGATAGATTGTATTAGACTTGGCTACATCCCATAGGAGTGATAGATTGTTTTAGACTTGTCTACATCGCATAGGAGTGATAGATTGTATTAGACTTGGCTACATCCCATAGGAGTGATAGATTGTTTTAGACTTGTCTACATCGCATAGGAGTGATAGATTGTATTAGACTTCATAGGAGTGATAGATTGTATTAGACTTGGCTACATCCCATAGGAGTGATAGATTGTTTTAGACTTGTCTACATCGCATAGGAGTGATAGATTGTATTAGACTTTCTACATGCCATAGGAGTGATAGATTGTATTAGACTTCATAGGAGTGATAGATTGTATTAGACTCGTCTACATCCCATAGGAGTGATGGATTGTATTCGACTTGTCTACATCCCATAGGAGTGATGGCTTGTATTAGACTTGTCTACATCCCATATGAGTGATGGATTGTATTATACTTGTCTACATCCCATAGTAGTGATAGATTGTATTAGGCTTGTCTACATCCCATAGGAGTGATAGATTGAATTAGACTTGTCTACATCCCATAGGAGAGATAGATTGTATTAGTCTTGTCTACATCCCATATGAGTGATGGATTGTATTAGGGAGTAATAGATTGTATTAGACTTGTCTACATCTGTATTAGACTTGTCTACATCCCATAGAAGTGATAGATTGTATTAGACCTGTCTACATCCCATAGGAGAAATAGATTGTATTAGACTTGTCTACATCCAATAGAAGTGATTGGTTGTATTAGACTTGTATACCTCCCATAGGAGTGATAGATTGTATTAGGCTTGTCTACATCCCATAGGAGTGATGGTTTGTATTAGACTTGTCTACATCCCATATGAGTGATGGATTGTATTAGGGAGTAATAGATTGTATTAGACTTGTCTACATCCAATAGAAGTGATTGGTTGTATTAGACTTGTATACCTCCCATAGGAGTGATAGATTGTATTAGGCTTGTCTACATCCCATAGGAGTGATGGTTTGTATTAGACTTGTCTACATCCCATAGGGGTGATGGATTGTATTAGACTTGTCTACCTCCCATAGGAGTGATAGATTGTATTAGTCTTGTCTACATCCCATACGAGTGATGGATTGTATTAGACTTGTCTACCTCCCATAGGAGTGATAGATTGTATTAGACTTGGCTACATCCCATAGGAGTGATAGATTGTAGTAGACTTGTCTACATCCCATAGGAGTGATGGCTTGTATTAGACTTGTCTACATCCCATACATCCCATAGGAGTGATAGATTGTATTAGGCTTGTCTACATCCCATAGGAGTGATGGACTGTATTAGACTTGTCTACATCCCATAGGGGGGATGGATTGTATTAGACTTGTCTACATCCCATACATCCCATAGGAGTGATAGATTGTATTAGACTTTCTACATGCCATAGGAGTGATAGATTGTATTAGACTTGGCTACATCCCATAGGAGTGATAGATTGTTTTTGGCGTGTCTACATCCCATAGGAGTGATAGATTTATTAGTGATGGATTGTATTAGACTTGTCTACATCCCATAGGAGTGATGAATTGTATTAGACTTGTCTACATCCCATAGGAGTGATAGATTGTATTAGTCTTGTCTACATCCCATATGAGTGATGGATTGTATTAGACTTGTCTACATCCCATAGTAGTGATAGATTGTATTAGACTTGTCTACATCCCATAGGAGTGATGGATTGTATTAGACTTATCTATCACCCCTATGGGATGTAGACAAGTCTAATACAATCCATCACTCGTATGGGATGTAGACAAGACTAATACAATCTATCACTCCTATGGGATATAGACAAGTCTAATACAATCCATCACTCGTATGGGATGTAGACAAGACTAATACAATCTATCACTCCTATGGGATGTAAACAAGACTAATACAATCCATCACTCCTATGGGATGTAGACAGGCCTAATACAATCCATCACTCCTATGGGATGTAGACAAGCCTAATACAATCTATCACTACTATGGGATGTAGACAAGTATAATACAATCCATCACTCATATGGGATGTAGACAAGTCTAATACAATTCATCACTCCTATGGGATGCAGACAAGTCTAATACAATCCATCACTTCTATGGATTGTATTAGACTTGTCTACATCCCATAGTAGTGATAGATTGTATTAGGCTTGTCTACATCCCATAGGAGTGATGGATTGTATTAGACCTGTCTACATCCCATAGGAGTGATGGATTGTATTAGACTTGTTTACATCCCATAGGAGTGATAGATTGTATTAGACTTGTCTACATCCCATAGGAGTGATAGATTGTATTAGACTTGTCTACATCCCATAGGAGTGATAGATTGTATTAGACTTCATTACATCCCATAGAAGTGATAGATTGTATTAGACTTGTCTACATCCCATAGGAGTGATAGATTGTATTAGACTTGTCTACATCCCATAGGAGTGATAGATTTATTAGGCTATGATACCGTATCTTTACATTTATTCATCTTGTTGCAAGTAAATCAGTAGACATTCAATTGTTAGAGCATTGATATAAAGGATCCCCATACCACTGCCAAGATCTCTTAAGTATTGGAAAGTGTTTTATCTGGCATGACTATAGTTTTGATAAATGATTTCTGAAACGAGAACCAAACCTTGCGGGACTTTTATTAGAAATGATAAAGATGAAATAAACAAAACATGATAAACAACGGTGTTCTGAGTGTAACACAATCGGTGGGGATTGACCAGGATTCGTACCCTGAACATCAGATTGTGATACCATTGCTCTAACTAAATGATCTACCTGCAGGACAATGTAAGTGTACAGGCCCAACCGTGCTACAGATAAATCCACACACAAGTTAAGGGGAGGATACTGTATATAGGAAAAAGGAACAACCACAATACAGTGGGACAAGAATCATTAATTATCAAAATATGTAATAACTGTCCCAATGGATATATTTATAAATTTGAACTATTTTCAGGGACCCAGTGGGTACGAGGAGATACATCAGAATGCACATCTGAAAGAATACCTGGAGCTGCTCATTAATGGTGGGTAGGAATAAATTTCACATTGTAATGCCCCCGTCATTTTATAGGGGGGAGGGATTCAGAGGTAAGGATATAGTGATGCCTATGTTTATCCCATCCCATGATGTCCCTTCTTGTTCTGTTCTGTATGTTTTGTGTTGTAAAACAAAACAAAATGTCTTAAAGGGTATTTCGTAGTGACCATTTTTGACAAAATTACTGTCTGAGAGGGTATTCCTGTGACCATTTTTGACAAAATGAAGGTCCGAGAGGATATTCAAGTGACTTGACAAAATTACTGTCCGAGAGGGTATAACAGTGACCCTATTTGACAAAATGACAGTATAATTAAAACCAGTTTCAGCTCTTCTTCTTCCTGTTGGTAAAGGGCGTCGCCAGTTTTGACATTTATGCCAGTATCTTGTTAGGTAGTGCATAGTGTGAAGACATATGTACCGTAATGTTATTGTAATTTTAAAGTGGTTAGGGTAAAAGAGGGTAAAAACTGTATAAGTATATTTGTGTAGGAGTTAGGACTTAGAAGAACTAGGTATTCGTAGGGGACATGGGCCTTGAAGTCCTTTAATTTAATGTTGGGTGTTGTACTGCTGCTAACGGTAGGAGGTTCCATTGAGTAATCATTGATGGTGTGTGGGAAACATGAGTAGTTGTATGTGTCTTTGGTAGCAGTAATGTGTCTGTAGGTGTAGGGGTGTGCATGTCATGTTCTTAGGTCTGTTGGTATGAGGAGGATGCTAGGGTTGACGTCTATTGCTACGTGATGTTGTATAATGAATCTGAAGCTGTTCTATGTAATTAATTCAATTTTAGCAAAAAGCAGGGTAAGACATCTGCTTATTTCAAACGTTAACATATGTAGATGAAAAATAAGAAGACTTTTAACTCATTCACCCCTGTTTCATAATGAACTATTCCAGCCTTTGAATTGGAAGAGTTCAAATGTGTCTTCAGGGGTTAATCATGAGTTAAGCTTGACATGTAAACTTTTTTCCCTTTTACTGTTCAGATTGGTTTGAACCAGGAATGAATTCAGAAATCTGTAATTTGACATAATACTCAGTAAAATGTAGTAATTTTGACATTTCAGATGAACAAAGAAAGTATGTTTTTGAAGATGCTGTGGTAAGTACATTTACATGTATACTACTGGTATTTACATTTTCGTTACAGTAAATTGTATTTGCATAAGACTACATGGTTATAGAAAGACAAAACATTGATTTACTTCAATTTTAAATTATGATTGACAGTTTTGAAACTATGATTTTCTGATAATCTGTCAAAATAATTGATGTCACAATTTTTGTGCTTCCACAACCTAGGGTACATTCGCTTATCCCAGTTGAAAACAATACGTGTAGCGCAGACATTTTCTACGATAAACGAACGCACTTGGACCGTTCTATAAGCAGAGCTAAAAATCCACAGTTTCGGAGAATAAAAAAACATGTATCAAAATAAATATGCCCTTTCATCCGTCCACTGAATTGCATAACGTATCTTAAAAACTACAGGTGACTTGACATTTTTTTAGAAAGAAATTGGCAATAGTCAGCATTTTAGTTTCGGTCAGATACGTCTGGACCCCTCAATCTACACGTGCCAAATTTTCCTGAGGTCAGCCTCGGTTCAGATCTTTGCCTGTTGTTTTCTTTACAGGTTCAACCGTTTCAACCGGATACGCGAATGTACCCCTAGTGGAGGGGGCTAAAAGAGAGGCCTTAGCTAGGAACTCTTCTGTAAAGGAGATACAAAAATGTATATTAGTATCCCAATGAGCCCTTACCTAAAACACTTTTAAAATTAAATGACTTTCATTAAACTCCTCAAGCAAATTGTTGAGTAATCACATCTTTCCATTACAGGTGCTCCTCTGTGAGATCTACATCAAGTGCCTAGTCCAGTGGCGTCCTCCTTGTGCCTCTTTACTGGTCAGTCCGGTCAGCTCAGCCATTGGACACCTGGTCAGTAGTTCACAAAAGAGCATAAAATCTGTAGCCTTATTCTATGTAATATGTATGGTACATCATGTAATACTGTATACCGGGAAATTTTCCCGGCAGTTAAATTTTTTGGCTTTTTTTGCCACCATAATGAGGGTGAATTTATAATACAGCGAATATTAGCAAATTCATACAAGTTGTTACAACATAATATGCATAGAAATTAAATGTGAAGGGTAAAATTCACACTGGGCGAATGTTGATTATTCTGGCGAAGGGTGAAAGTTTGATTGGGCAAACGTTTTCCTGATATGGAGTATTTACTGGTAGTAAAAGTGAGAAATACTGACATGTTTACATGTACCATAATAAATGAGACTGCATCTTGTCAGAGAAGAAAATTTTAACTGAAGCTTTGCTGTAGGTCTCACATCTGTAGGTCTCACATTAATTCTGGGGCAATAACTTTCATAAACATTGATGAGATTTAGTCAAACTTGGTTTATACTTTCATAATGGCAAAGCTAAAGCCACTCACAATGTAGCAGAACTGGACTGAGTCAATCGTTAGCGACCAGGTCGCTCAATTGGTAGTGCGTTCTAGAGTTCAAAAGTCTCGGGTTTGAACCTTGGTCTGGCTGTACATTTTTCTGCGCCTGTTACATTCGGTGCTTGTGTCGTGACCAACCCTTGTTCAAGTACTAGGTGAATGTTTGACAAGGGGATACCTGAACCTAGGATATAAATGGTTGTGTCCCTAGGGTCAGTCCTACTACATCAGTGGAGGACATAAACAAATTGAAACAAACTTCTAAAAAGTGTTTGAAATTGAAATTGAAAAACAAATTCAACCTTATATATCAAAGTATCGTAATTAATAGATACATTTTTGTTCTCTTTCATTATATGACCTCAATATGTGTTGTAAGGGTATATAGGATCCCTGTCCCAATACAGACAAATCACTGGAGAATTCCAAATTTTTCCCATGCATACAGTTACCTCCCTTTAACTCATTTTTTATATTAACTGTATTACAACTTGTCCAGGGTAGCTCACTCAGAGGTCCAGGGTTCGCATCCTGATCTGACTCCTTTGCATTTTTATACTCAGAACAATGTTGTTGATTTTTTTTCTCAAATTATCTTTAAAATATTTTGTTAAAGATGGGCAAGGTGTTATTTTCTTTTCAGAAAAAAAGGTTTAAAGTACAAGTTACATTTTTTGGCGTCGGTACAGGGATGCTAAGATTAAAACTTAAACTCGTTATTTTTATTTTCAGCCAAAAGGGGATGGTCATTTTGGTCAGCGATATGCCTGGCTTGACCACATACCTCCTCTACAGGGATCCAAGTCCATCAGACAGCCGTGCCAGTACACAATCACGACCCACCCCACCTCAGCGCGGCGCTCCGGGGCTACACCTTGTACACAGGTCAAGGCCAACATTTCCTGTTCCTGTTTCAGATGTCGCGAGGACTTACTCAAGTTACAGGTGTGTATATGCTCAAATTACAGGCATGTATTTCATAACTTCTTCATCAGGTGGGTAAACCTAGATTGTATACATGCAGGTTCAATCACAGCCGATGAACTGTTTATGTATATATGATGCTTCAATTTTATGGTCAATTTGTGCATGCTTTGCACTTTTGTGAAGATACACTTTTACAGGTCATTTTTTATGATGCATTTTGTAGGTTTTGTTTTATTTTGTTAGGTCACCTGAGCTTTGCTCAAGTGACCTATTCCAATCGCTTTTCGTCCGTCGTCGTCCGTCGTGCGTCGTGCGTAAACTTTTACATTTTAAACTTCTTCTCAAGAACCAGTGGATGGATTTTTTTCAAACTTGGTCAGAATCATCCTCGGTAGATGAGGCTTCAAAATTGTAAAATTGGGATTCCTACCCCAACCCCTGGGGCCAGGGCGGGGCCCGAAAGGGAAAATTAACCAATATTTCAAAAATCTTCTTCTCCAGACTCAGAGGTACTACACTCATTTTCTCTACGTAGAAAGAAAGATCATCAGGGGCTTTACTTAAATTGTAAATTTCAGGACCCCCGAGCTATCCGTTCTCCCTTGGGGAGGGGGTAAAGTTTACTATAGTTTATATAGGGAAATAAC